TTTGAGCCCTTACGCACGCTCGTTAAGAGGCTCTGGCGCGCGCCGTTCACGCGCTCGCGCCTCGCGCTCACCTTCCAGGAACAGCAGCCACCTCCTGCTGCCTCTGGACTCCCGGATGTAGTACCTGCCGGGGAAACACCGCCGTGAAATCAGCCTGGAAGCCTCTGCGCATGCGCTAATGAACGCGCTCAAACGCGCTCAAACGCGAGCTCCCTTTGATCTTAACTTGAAAGTTTTGGCTCTGACTGCTCGGATAAACAGTTCGGCCAATGCTCGTAAAGGCGTTTAGAGCTCTAATGTATGTTGTCTTTCACCCAAAAGGCAACAAACACTCTCTCTTTTTGAGGTTTTACGGCCTGGGTGGCAAAATGAAAGCACGCTCCGGTTTACAGATGCAGTCCAAACGAAATAAACAGCTTAAATCGGTCCAACTCTGAAGTCTGAAGCTCCTTTATTCGCTTAATTCTGCCGTTAAAACAGCCTGATGGGTAAGAAAATAACCCGTTAGGGGTAAAATACAACCCACTAACGGTTGTTCCATTAGAAACTGGTTTAATGAATTTGTGATTATTGTTATTAATTGTTTTTCATTTTAACTTCATCTAGAGGGACAAGACACATAGAAACTGGTTTAATGAATCTGTGATTATTATTATTAATTGTTTTTCATTTTAACTTCATCTAGAGGGAAACTCGCAGTTCTGTTAACAACTACTCGTCTCCCCCAGGTTGTGCTTGACCTCGAAGAGGAATTCAGACTTCATTAGTGGACTTTTAAGTCTGTCTGACGGAAGCTCGCGCGGCCTTTGCTTTGATCCTGCGCTTTGATCCATTTTGGTACCATCCGGAGTGCCAGTGGCGCAAAGAGCTGATGTTTGGCGCAGCCGCGTGCGTCCTGACGATAATAACAACTAACCAGAGCGAACTCTATTGAGAAACAAAGGATTAGTAGTTGGAAAAAAGTTAGTAATCCCTCATAAAGGTATTTTTAAGAGCTAAAGGAGGGTTAGGATATCAAGGAGGATTCAGAAAACTGACGGCTATACGATAAACAAGATCATGTTCAGTCCTGGATCCATTCTGATAGATTGGGACGCATCAGTGTTTTTTGGGGGTCTCTGACCCTCCACGGCGCGCGCTTACCCCGCCGGTGACCCGTCGTTGCAGGTCACGGACACGTTCTTGAGGAGGGTCAGCCTCATGTCCGCGTGCAGCCCGCGCGCGGAGCACGGATACAGGGACTGCGCCAGGTCTTTGATCTGCGCCACGAAGCTGTCCGTGTTGCTCTCCACGGCCGTGAAGTCTAACGGGAAGCTCTCCGGTCCCTCCGCGCGCTCCCGGTGCTCCTGCTCGTGCTGCGGGTGCGCGCGCCGAGGCTGCGCACGGCCTCCACGCACGCGCCTGGCGTCCAGCGGCGAGCACAGCTGGATGAGCAGCAGCAGCATTGCGCAGGACAGGACCCCGACACGGGTCTGCATGTCTTCTGGTTAGCGGGAAACGCGCGTGACAGGGCTCTGAAGGCCACGCGACATTATTTAGGAGCAAACGGAGGGAGGGGGGGTCCTCTGGAGGCGAAAAGAGACTCTCTTAAAGCCACCTCTCACGCACGACGAGCCCAAAACACGCGGATTGCGGACCTCCATGGCGCGCAAACGGAGGGTTTAACTGGTTTCAGATTCAGTCCCAATGCGCACGCGCGAGTCCACCTGCGTTTTTACGCGTAAAGCAGCGGTTCGGTGTCGGTCTCAGCGGCTTGTTTCCCTCTTTGTCCCGGTTCCAGTGAGCTCCGGTGGAAGTGGGGACTTATTTAAAGCCC